AGCGCAAGACGTTGTAGTGTATAGGTAGGCAATCAATCAGTGCGAGACGTTGTGGTGTATAAGTAGGCAACCATCAATCATTGTGACGTTATCGTCACTATTGTACCTTACTATAATTGTTGTTGTTCTGTGTAGCATCAGATTGAGTGTTCTTCCCTTGCACTTAGCGAAGAGATCTAAGACGAAGCGCAAGACGTTGTAGGGTATAAGTAGGCAATCAATCAGTGCGAGACGTTGTGGTGTATAAGTAGGCAACCATCAATCAGTGTGACGTTATCGTCACTGTTGTACCTTACAATCTTAATTAACGATGTTGGCTTCGAAGCAATTGCGATGGCTGTACGCAGTGATTACTGCTTCCGTTTTTTTTATTATTCTCGTCTTAACAAAACGGCTGCATCCGGTCACCGACATACGAGTGGATGGTCGCGATCGGGACGACTTTCCTATGGTCACGAGGGTGTTCGTGTCTGATGGCGGTTTGTTTGCTGGACGTCAATCATCCTCTTCCTCCTCCTCCTCGTCGAGATCGTTGTCCTCCTCCTCCTCCTCCTCCTCCTCCTCCTCCTCCTCGACAAGATCATTGTCCTCCTCCTCCTCCTCCTCGACAAGATCATTGTCCTCCTCCTCCTCCTCCTCGACAAGATCGTTGTACTCATCGTCATCATCATCATCACCATCTTCGATCTCAATGTCATTAAGGTCGTCTTCTTCACGGTTTGGATCTTTGGCTACGGTGTTGGAGGATAAGGAGAGAACGAAGGGAGAGCGATTGAATCTGACGCGTGCTTCGGCATCTTCATCTTCGTCAGGCTCATCTGGAGTGCTCCAGGAGGAACGAATAAAGGGGAGGGAGGGGGAGCGGAAGGAGGACAAGGAGGAGGAACGAGAGCGGCGCCGAGAGTACAGAGAGAATGGTCTCAAGGCAGACGCGGCTGATGGCGATCCCGACGAGCGTGACGGAGGGCGAGCGAGGGAGAAACCGATGCAAGAGGAGAGGACAGCCGACGGCGCGAATGGGGATGGGGATCCCGACCAGCGGGACGGATTTCGAGAGAGGGACATACCGACGCAAGAGGAGGGGATAGCCGACGGCGCGAATGGGGGCTACCCCGACGAGCGGCGCGGAGGTGGAGAGAGGGAGACACCGATCATGCAAGAGGAGAGGAGAGCCGACGGCGCGAATGGGAATGGCGATCCCGATGGGTCCGACCGCGACGCGAGATTATCGAGGTCCCTGCCGCGAGTCGCCTACCTCTTGAGCGGGACAAGCGGCGACGCCCGACGAATGCAACGGCTCCTTCTGGCAATCTATCATCCGCGCAACGAGTACCTTCTCCATCTCGATCTCTCCGCTTCGCCGGAGGAAAAGCAATCTCTCGAGATTTTTCTACGTTCTAATCTTGTCTTCAAGGCCATCGGTAATGTCGAGATAGTTCAGAAGAGCAACCTAGTGACGTACAAAGGTGCGACGATGATAACCAGCACTCTTCACGGCATCGCCGTCCTCCTGAGAAGGAAACGTAGTTGGGATTGGTTCATTAATCTTAGTCCGTCTGATTACCCCTTAGTCACACAGGACGAGTTGCTGTACGTGTTGTCATCCGTGCCGCGCAATCTGTCGTTCATTGCGCACAGCAACAAGACCGATCGAATACAGCGGGCGAGAATAGAACCTGTGTTCGTCGATCCGGGATTTTATGGAACAGAGAAGTCTGATCTGATTCAGACCAATCGGAAGCGGTCGATGCCGACGGCTTTTCGGATTTTCAAAGGGTCAGCTTGGGTCTGCTTGTCGCGCAGTTTTGCTGAGTACGTCATTTGGGGATACGACAATCTGCCACGTCTGCTTGTGGCTTATTTCGCGAATTTCGTGTCGTCGCCGGAGTCTTATTTCCAGACGGCGATCTGTAATTCGCCCGACTTCGCCGGGTCTGTTGTCAATGTCGACCTTCATTACGTCCAGTGGATGGGGGGGGGGCAGCATCCGATGGTGCTCAATGGGACTTGGTACAGTGCATGGAGGGACGGTACCTTGGAATTGCTGCAGGGGGGGACGACGGCCTTCGCTCGCAAGTTCAAAGAGAATTCTTCTGTTCTGGATGAAATCGATGAACACGTGTTGGGAGGGAGAAAGCCAGGAAGATTCGCCGTCGGGGGATGGTGCGCACGTGACATGTCGAGTACTAACGAGGAGGAGGAGGGCAGAGGGACCATGGGGAAGGGGGGGAAGGCGGCGGCGGAGGGGGAGGAGGAGAGGGAGAAGGTGAAGATGGTGGGCGGGGAGGAAACGAACGCCGGGGGACGGCTAGTCCCCATGATGCGGATGTTTCGTCGACGGAGGATCTTTAGCGATGGAGGAGGAGAAGCCGGTCGGGATCGGGATCATGGCGGGGTTGTTGCTGGCAGCGTTCTAGGTTCAACTCCGTCTTCTCATGGTCCGATGGGGAGGACGAATGATCTCGGATCCGACGGTGGGGATTACCAGGTCGATTCTCATCGTAGTTATTATGATGGAAATGCGGAAGGTGATGATGATGATGATGATGATGATGATGATGATGATGATGATGACGACCCTTGCCGTGCTGTCGGTGACCCGAACAATCTGCTCATTCCTAAAGGGGTAAGTAGATTTGAAAAGTGGCTGGGATACTTTCTTCAGAATGATTCTTTTCGGAACAATCAATGTTGATGACGTCAGCATCATTATCGCATGGGAAAGAAGAAACAGATCGAAGGTAAATTTGTCATACTCCTTTGACCAGGTAATTTAGAATCAAGGTAAAGCGATTTGGACAAATGAAGATTCAATTGAACAGCCATCAAACCGAATTGGTCAGTTCAATTTTCCTTCCTAGTACATTATCAGAACCGATTTGAACAGCCGATATAGGTTGGGAGAAGTGTTGACTTTTTTTTTTTTTTAAGCACGGTCCGTTACGTCCAGAACAAAGGGTTGAGGCCCGCGACCTCACAATTCAACCCGGAGTTATCCTGGCAGCCTCAGCCAGTTTCGCTTACCGTTCGGCAGAACCAGAGGTCCAGAACCAATTACGTTGCCAAAATTCATGACTCTCCTATTCTGTTTCCTTATTGAAAACTACTGTTCCTCTACAATCCGCTCCTTCCTATCCGTTGTCACATTTAGCTAACCTACTTAACAGTCTAAAGCCGCTACCGGGCATTTCGCCCAGTGGAGCAGAACTCCTTATTCCTAGGTAACTCTGCTATTGGGCCACTGCGCCCCTACTGAACCGAGTGCCCTGGTTCAATGGTCTATTCTAGTCCTACCGAACCGAGTGCCCTGCTTCAATGGTCTATTCTAGTCCCCCTAAATACAACTAAACAAGACGAAACAAACAAACAAACAAGTAGACCATTTTGGACATACCAGGTATACGTTGGGAGGAAATGATGAGAATTTTGGACGAAAGGATTTAACAGCTTTTTGAAGGGGGGATAGAGTTAGGCAGATTGATTTAAACCACCAGTACTTGGCCCAGCTAGCGGCCGCGGAAAAAAAATAGAGTAGAAACGTTTCTAGTGGGATGAATTTGGGCGCTCCTGTAGTGGCCCGTACGTTTCAAAAATAGAGTAGAAACGTTTCTAGTTGGATGAATTTGGGTGCTCCTGTAGTGGCCCGTACGTTTCCTAAAATTGCGTAGAGGTAACGCTACGCGACTGTAGGAAGTACTAGTGGTTTAACAAATTAGTATTGACAAAAAAACACATTTAGTCCAACAATCAACCGATTTGAGATTCTGCACAGACCATCCGGACCTACAAATGTATCAAATTAGTGAAGTGATTTTGCATGTTAGTCACATGCATCTGAATCACGGGCCTGCTGTTCCTGTAAACTGTCGACCTAGAACTTCGCCTTGATTAGCTTTGCGGACGTTTGGTGTCACCTCTCTAATCCATCTTTGGCATGTCTCGGCAGTGATCCGCAAAACAACCCGGTTTTGATTGCATCAAGCAGATTCCCCTGCCCCCCAAGTTCCTCACGACAAACGCAGGTCTTGACGTGCCCGAAGACCCATTCTGCTGCAGCTTGGATTTGAATCCAGCTGACAGTGTTGCCAAAGCCGCTCAATATGCTGTTCGCCGAGAACAGGAAACACATTCCCTCCTTTCCTCTTGGTTGTCTCTGTGCCATCAACCTCGAACACGATAACAATGTTGTGCACCGTAGTGCGTGGAAACCCATAGCGCACTGCAGGCTGTGCAATCGTTTTGCCTTCAACGAAGACCACCTTTGAACATGGTCGATGAAGTTGTACCTGCCTCTCTTGCCCTAACGGACATTGTGGTTTGTACAGAAGGTCACCCTCGTGCAAGACGAGCGAGTCAGGCATGTGAACGCACAAGGCACGGGGGTCGATTCTCGCAGGAGTGAATGCACTTTGAAGTATGCACGCATCAGGAGTGAATGCACTTTGAAGGATGCACGCATCATACGCGGGAGTGAATGCACCGGGGTAGCCGGACCTAGGTGGATGCATGCAGAGTGAATGCACGTGGGTAGCCGGACCTAGGTGGATGCACGCAGCACACACGTGAGTGACACACGATTTGCTGCGGGCCCCACCAATTTATGCTCTCATCTGTCTCAGGGTAGGACCCCTTTGCTTGRCGGTGCTTGGTGCCAGGAAAACATCTGCCAGCCCAGRATCGTAGCCGAACCTAGGTGGATGCATGCAGAGTGAATGCACGTGGGTAGCCGGACCTAGGTGGATGCACGCAGCACACACGTGAGTGACACACGATTTGCTGCGGGCCCCACCAATTTATGCTCTCATCTGTCTCAGGGTAGGACCCCTTTGCTTGGCGGTGCTTGGTGCCAGGAAAACATCTGCCAGCCCAGGATCGTAGCCAACGGGAATGGACAAGCAAAAAGGGACTCCGCCGCCACAACAATTTTTGGCATTTCTCGAGGTTTATGTTACCCGATCAGGAAGACTTGCCTTTCGGGCAAGTTTGCCTCCACTTTTTTAGCACACCAACCAAGCCCTGCGCTTCCTGTCCACAAGGGATCTGTGAGTCTAGAGGGTGCGTTCGCCGAGCTCTAGAGGTAGGCAAATGCACCCTCTAGATTTATCCATCCCGTGCGGAAAGGAAGCAACGGGGATTGGTTGGTGTGCTGAAAAATCGGAGGTAGGCAGAGTGGAAACAAAAACGCTTGCGTTTGCTGCCAGTAGTGGAGTCCCAGAAAATATATTCTGAAGGCTTGCCGCGGTCCAGTATTTTCTTTCCACTCTTCCTACCTCCGCTTTTTCAGCACACCAACCAATCCCCGTGCTTCCTTTCCGCACGGGATGGGTAAATCTGAGGGTGCATTTGCCTACCTCTAGAGCTCGGCAAACGCACCCTCTAGATTCGCTCATCCCTTGTGGAAAGGAAGCATGGGGCTTGGTTGGTGTGCTGAAAAAGCGGATCTGGTAGGGTAACATAAACCTCGGGAAGTGCCAAAAAATGCTGTGGCGGTGGAGTCCCTTTTCGCTTGCCCATTCCCATCGGCTATGATTCTGGGCTGGCGGATGTTTTCCTGGTGCCAAGCAGTGGGGTCCTACCTGATGTACGTCATTGTGTATCCGTCAAGTTTCTAGAACACCTGTCCGTGTATTGGTTCACAAGATGTCTGATTCTAATCTATGGTTTGAAGAAGCTTCTTCTACAAGAATCTAAAATGCTTGGACTACGTGCGCGAGCCCAATCTACCGGTCCAAGAAGCCTCTACGAAATTCGGAAACATGTGGGATCTCGTGGCAAGCCCGAAAGTTCCTTCACTACATGTTGTCGGATCAGTAGCTTAATACTCCAATCGACTTTGCGAGAGGGATCTCCCCCCGCCGCCCCCGCGTCTGGGTAGCGAACACGAATGAGAAATGGCTGATGGGGCCAGCTAGTCTTTTTTTTTTTATAGATAATTTGTGAAATACCCCTATAAGTTGAGATATATGTCAAACTTATAGGGGTATTTTGCAAAGTATCCCCCCTCCCCCCCCCCACCCCAAAAAAAGTCAAAATGCCCCTAAAAGATGTGGGTAGAGTGGAATGCCCTTGGGGCCTAATTCTTTGCGTTTTGTCCGTCTGGCCCGTGTGCGAATTCGGAGTCTGGACCTCGTCGTTGGGGCCTGGACCTGCACTCTGTCTTACCGGGTCTGCCCTCCATACGGGGTGGGCAAGTTTGTGCAATACCTAGGCCCACATGTGCGGCAGTTTGCCTCCCCGTTTCAAACTTTCGAACTCCTTCGCAGTCTCTGCCGCTGCCTCCAACTCGTCCTCCCCTGCCATTCTTCCTAAGTTCTCCTTGGCCACGTCACCATCTGTGAGATCCTCCTTCCCGCCTCTCTCTCACTCACACACACACACACACACACACCCACACACACGCACACACACGTCATTTCCATTCAATAAGTCCGTGTGAGTGCTGCCCATGTTATTTCCATTCAATAAGTCTGCGTGAGTGCTGCCCACGTCTGTCTTTTTTTTTTTTCCGGACGTTGGTACATCCACAAACTGTCGAAACACAGATATGAGTCCGAATCCTAATGGAATTAGATGAGTGAACAGAACTCTCTCTCTCTCTCTCTCTCTCTCTCTCTCTCTCTCTCTCTCGATCTCGACAAGATATGCTCATCCTTCTAGTCTACACTACTCTACAACTTTATTTTTGCTGTCATTAATCAGGGGATAATTCAAAATGTCCATCCATTACTTAGTTTCGTCCTCCTGTTTTTTTCCTTCCCCCCCCTAAATTGTATTTATTTTCCTTGGGGTTATCGCCTTTCAAGCCATATCAGACAAGAGCGTGGGTCTGCAAAAGAACCGGATGAGCATGGGAAAAATCAAAGGGATTGGCCGTGGATCCTGAGGATGGGTGTCTGGGTGGCTGATTTGATTGATTGGAAGGTTGATGCAACCGCAGAGGATCATCAGCACAAACTTCCAGTGCCAAGATTCAGACACTTGTGATAATGCAGATGCAGATTTGGCCAGAGAGAGAGAGAGAGAGAGAGAGAGAGAGAGAGAGAGAGAGAGAGAGAGAGAGAGAGAGAGGTGGGCAGGGGGATCTCGGAGATGGTGACGTGGCCAAGGAGGAGAGCTTGAGAGGAATGGTGGGGGAGTTGGAGATGGGGATGCTTACCAGCGCGGAGATACTTGGACCTGTAGGGGTAAAACGAAAATTAATAGGGCGTGGGAAAAGTTGGCAAGTACGGGTCATTTTGCAAAGATGGACAGTACCTGGTAGGTGGTATTCTGTGAAGATGGCGGGTCCAACTGATGCCAGCAACATTTCGCAAAATATTTTTTGTGTCGGAGGTGTATTTTGCCCTACCCACATCTTTTAGGGGCATTTTGGTGCAATGAATTGCAGTTGCTGTGCACTAAGTTTGTCTACTGTTTGGCTATTCTGAGCCCTTCGGGACTTTGATCCGTGAACCTGTCGCTGGTAGTCTCTATTTGGCAGTGTTAGACCCTTTAGGTCTTACTGTTTTGTCGTTTTCTGCTCTTTTGGAAACTGGTAGGCCCGTATGTCTCTCGTTTGCGTCTCCTAGTCTTGGGTCCCCGCAGTCTAGGTTTCCAGCCACATGCATGTAGGCAGATCTTGACTGT